TATCTTCGTTCAGTTTTGGTTTAGTTATGGTTTAGTATTTCGGTTTACTACTTTAAATTTAGTTTGTGTGTACTTTAGTTTTCAGTTTAGTTACTTTTTGGTTAGTTTAGCTTAACTTTATTTGACTTGTACATTTTGGCGACACGCGGCCGTTGGTCGGCTTATCTTTTCATAGTATTGGTCTGAAGGCATTAGAAGCTATTTTAAGTTTAAAAAATAGGGGAAAAAGCCAATCTGTAATGGTTTTACTTTAATTTCAAAATTCGACATAGAGTCGGTAAACGATTATATCCTATTCGCAGATGCTAATGGACGGTTCTTGATTCACATTGATTGCATTTTTCATTTCACTTAGCACGTGCCGAACATAGGTTATTTAAATAATTATTTTTATATTTTCTACTTTTATGTGCTCTACTTGTATTACTATTCATTCTTTCCTCTGATACGCCCTACCCGTTCAACCCCTTTTACAACCGGCCCCGTATAACAGAATTTCGAGGTTTTCACTTGCTATAGTGAGCCTGAAGCGGGATAGTTACCCTCATGCGAATTCAAAGTGCAAGGCATCTATGAGCTATTACCCTTCCGACATGCATTGTGAATTTGCCGCCGGTTGCTGCAGCCAGTTAATGATTTAATCGAATTTTCACAGCAGCATTTCTTATCATTCCAGATGAGGCAATCCGTCGATCTGATGGGCGATATGACCTACTTATTGTGCTCTTTGTTGGTGTTCTAAATAAAATCTTCACAACGAACAGGACGACAACCCAGTGACATGGAAATATCCAGTTGGTTTTAAAACTCACTAAAAAAACAACCACTAATGATCAAAACGGTTATCCGCACCTGATTGCGATGACTAGCGTCAAACATGTTCCTTAAAAGATGTCTTATTCGCAAGGACACCAGATAATTTGTTTTTCACTACAGAGGTACCGAGTCGATCCCAGCGATGTCATTTAGATTGTCTAGCGTACAGCAGCCAACCTCTCAGCGGGTCTACGCTAACGGGTGCTAGCGACAGCCGTGGCAGTTGCTTTATGGCTAAGGAAGCGTTGGGCTCTTAGGAGACGCCAGTGCACACATTTTCACTTCCTAACCGACGCCGGCGTCGGGTGGTGGTCGCATATCGCTCGCAATCCCTGACGACAGTTGGTCCTTCCACGCACTTCACAGTTATGTTTACTCTACAAACTCGACCTATGAAAATGTTTCACAGTCTACTTAACTTCCTCCCGCTTGGCCATCCCAGTGACTTCAAGATGCCGACGGGAGGTGTGAGAACAATCACTAGTGACCATAAGACATTTATCAATCCTGACAACGTTTCATATCTTCATTACCTATGCAATCGTATAGGCCCGAGGATGGATTACTAAAACATACGTTTTTCGAACGCACTTCTCAATTACAAATCAGGCTGAAAATTGTCCACTCAATATACCTAAATGTCAGTCTGCGACCGATCTAATGCAGTATCCGCCAAAACAAAGAAATTTTTTTTTCAGTGGGGAAGGTGTACATAATTGAACTTGTAGTATTCATAATCATGCATCATAATTTTAACATATTCCGGAAACTCCGAAATGCCGACTTGCATCTGCTCTGCTTTTCAGCTGCCCTCAAAAACTTCGCATAACCAAAAAGGACTGTGTATATGTTATCAAACGTTTTCTATTGATTTTCGATGCTCTTGGAAATTCAAATATATTTAAGAGGATATGAACTCAAATTACGTTTTTCTTTTATTCATATGATAGAAGCTCACGTCTGCTTAAAATGAACTCCTCAAACGAAGCGTACGTTTTTGTTGTGGTAACGTTTTCAATGCCCAGATAATTTTGAAACCGAATTTTAGTTCTGCTTACGCGTATTGTTTTGAAAATTCATGCTATATACTTCCTTTTTACGGACAGTCATATCTTTCCTTACATGAAGACAATGTCATCGACGACTTATAACATTTTAACTGGACGTAGATTATATAGATAATCATCTAGGCATTAGTAATAAACAGACAATTACTATGCTGCATGAGCGGACGCAACACACTCTTACCAACGTTTTTGGAGTATAAATTTGAGGAGGATAGTATTTTTAAGAAATAGTTACAACAGCTGGAACTAGTATCCACATTAGGTATGTGACAGCCGGGAAGCACTTCCAAGAAATCAAGCGGTTGTGACCAGATAGATGAGACCCGCCTTGTTTAATTTCTGAAATAACACGAATTTGGGATAACTCCCTCAGAGCAAACCTTTTCACACTTAATCCGAAAGTTGACCTTAATATCTATGCTTAATTTCATCAGCATCTGCGATCTAACCACATGATCAGTATAAGCATAGCACTGCTAGATTAGGTACACACGCAGAGCATAATTGCTTTGAAGCCACATTGAGGAACACTTCTAATTTTTCGCTTTTTTTCCAGTCCACTTCAGTTTTACTAAGGAAAGGATATGCGAACGCCATTTAACACCCAAATGGTTTAAAATTTGCTAAGAAAAATAGTAAGCATAAACGTCTACTCACATGGTAGGAGCGGTATAAATACATGTGTGGTTCTGCTTGTGTGACCGAGTGTGTAGCTCGGCCTCGCACATTGTCAGCACTGGGACTGCTTCGATGATAGCGAAACATTTATCAACGCGCTGTTCGTCACAAAGAACGGGTTGCACAAAGCCTACGTTGACCGCCCTACCGATGCCAGCAAAACAGCCTCCTACTGAAGTCGCCACCTAATGTAACAGCGGATAAGGGACATATGACTCGTAAGGCTCAAGCAAAGAGTTCGTCCTCGCAACACTGACAGAACTACGCTATTTATAGAGAAGAAGAAGAAGAAGAAGAAGAAGAAGAAGAAGAA